CATGACGAATATGGCACTCATTTCTAAATCCAAGATGGCGGACACGATTTTTTCAAAAAAATGCTATGTGGGTATAATTTTCGAGGTATTTGGGGATGATCAATGTGAATATGGCACTATTTGTAAATCCAAGATGGCGGGCACGATTTTTCAAATAATGGCAAGTTGGGTATCGTTTTCGAGGTATTTGGGGGTGCTCATTACGAATATTGCTTTTGTTTGAACTGTCGTGTTTGCCATCTTGGATTTAGAAATGAGTCCCATATTTGTATTGAACATTCCCAAACATCTCGAAAACGATACCCAACTTGCCATTATTCGAAGAATCGCGCCCGCCACCTTGGATTTAGAAATAAGTGCCATATTCGAAACCTAAAACCGAAAATGCCATAAGCAAACATTAAAGAAAATAACTGTTAAAATAGATTAAAAAATCGCTTAAGAATGCTCCCCTTTTAAGAAAATAAAATATTTTAATATAAAATATTTCGCTTGAGTTACGAAAAGAAAGACATATAATAAGCTATCAAAGTTGTACTGGTGGTGCCAACACTATAGTAGAAACAAATATATACTGTAAATTTGTTGCAATATGTGCTCCAATTCGAATAAAATTAATATAAATAATTATTCAATAAAGCATGAACGCAGAGCCGTTAAAAGTATTATAAAATAATGAAGTGTCCCAATCACTTACAGGAGTTAACGAAAACATTTAATGTTTATTAAAGTAAATATTAGTTCAAGATGCGCAAATAAATCTAAATTACAGGCACCACTAAAATTTACGTAATATAATTATTTTGATACAGAATAGCAAAATGGGGAGAAAAAAAATTCGTTACTTTGCAACACTTTCGTATCTTGTTGCCGCGAAATTATTTTTCTGTTTTAGTGAATATTTACATAAAAATATGAGTTGAAACGCATTACTTACTTGTGGAATGCGATGTTAGTGTCTATTTTGTTTGTCTGTTGTATTTTTACACCCATTTACCGCACATTTCGTCATTTTTAGCAAAAAATTTTGGAGCTGTTCGCGGTGCAATATGACCTTGAGCACTAACAGCCCGCGCGCTCCTGGGACGCGTTTGGAACCCTCTAACTTGCCTCACTTAGCGTGTGCGGGCTAGGTTTCTATGCGTTATTATTCTAAGCATAATACCTAAAGTAAGGCGTTTAGCACTGTAGTCTCTCAGTCGATAAAATCGACAAACAAATTAGTTTTAACGGTTGTAAAGAGCTGTCGCTACGATGTTCCAATTTTGAGAGAGAGAAAAAAAAATTGACAGTTGTGTAGTCTGAAAACAAAAGATGGGCGCGTAATTTTTTCTTTGCTGGATCTTGGTGATAAAAAAGTGCTGGAGATTATTTTTATAGAAAAACACGTAGAGAAAACGGGAAGTTTTAATTTTTATTAGTTATTTCAGACCAAAAACAACATATTATACGAGTTTCATTGGAATCAAAATTGTAACTGCCAAAAACATTGTTGGGGTAAGAGGGTCTAGTACTTACGGGGTAAGAGAAACATATGTTCCTCTTCCCCCGTATCAGGGGTAACAAACTTTTTGATGAATTGTCATAATGGAATATTGTCATATTCGAACAAACACAACTTTATATCCATATATATTATTTTATACCTATACATGTATACTTTTAAGAAATTAAGTAACATTTGTTCAAATAACGTTTTTGATTGTAATCTACAATAATTACACCACTACAATTTTATGCGTAAACAATCACACATCTTACGTTAGTTTTTAAAGCCAGCAGTAAAATTCTGGTAGCACATTGTTTGCCGTCAGGAATTTTTCGAAAATTTAATATTTTAGTCGTAAACTAAAAAAAATTTCATTTGCTCTAAAATAATGCCGTATTCTAAGAACAAACAACAATGACTCATTGCACGTTGGCTATGTGGCCACACTACTTCTATATCAAATTTCAATCGATTTAGTGAAACGGTTTTCAAAGTAGCGCGGTTATGGTGACTAGGGAAGAATAAATATTGTTAGAAGTATAAATTTATTTTTGGACCAAACATTGTTTTTCTATTATGACGATGTTTATTACATTTGTCTCGAAAAAAAGTATGTTCCTCTTACCCCACCTGACCTTACTTTATATAATAGCACTTTCGTTATCTGTAAATCCCTTGTTACTCTTCAAGTAGGTCAGCTAATGCCTCCCTACGAATGTCATATTAAGTGTGTGGGAGTGTTTACGTTAAAATTTTGGATGTTTCTAATTATACTTTAAAAAAGTTATTGATATCGTTTTACTCTCAGTGGGTAACGTATTTTCGATATTAGTGTGTGATTTTTGATATATCTAATATACATTATAATAGCTTAGACACACTGAGGGTCGTATTCTAGAACTCTACTTGAAGTCAAAATAAAACGTACATCAATAAACATTATTTGTTATCTATAAATTAAGCTGCTTTTATTAACAATAATCCTTTCAAAATCTTGCATAAAATAATATAATAATATTTTGCAGTTTCACTTTCATTTAAAATTACTCAAAACTACTTGAGCGGTGTTGTACGCTAAGCGACGATAAGCTTTATTTAAAACAACTGAATGCAACCAAGAACGCAGCCTTAGGCAAACGTCAAAATACTTTGTGGGGCAACCACAGATTAAATACTAGACTAGAGCGGCAACTAACTCCGTCAACGAACTCAAATGATTGTTACGCACGAAACTAACATTTTTGCATAACTATGGGATTTATTTTCATTGTAAACGGGACGACAGAGAGTAATATCAAGAGATACTAAATGCATTTATTTGTATGTATTTATCGATGATTAACATTATGTATTCGATTCAGTTGAATGCAATATGACTCAATGAAAGTGCAACTCTGTTGTAAAATAAAGCCGACGAATTGCAACTCTAATCCCATAACCTAACTTTTTTGGAGGGAAATTGTAACTTTAAATAATTGTTTGTTTGTTTGTTTTAATACTATGCATTGTGATAAATGAATATTTAAAACGTAGTTCTAGATCTAGATACTGCTTGTTTCCTATTAAGTTTTCCGTAGGAAAAGTGTGTTAAGAAGTTAATTAACCCGAAATGAAGCGGAAGTGGTTTTAATTTTAGTTTATACTTTGAAATATTATATTTCCTTTGGATTTGTCTTGGCTTGTTGATGTGGTATTATTAGGTTTAAGTTATGGAGTCAACAGTTTCAGTTTCAAAGGTAAGAAGGGACAATACGTCAGTTTAGTTTCACTGCATTTAATGTAGACTTGGTTAACAAAACAATTTTCGTTAATTCACTCGGTTTCTATTTACAGGGTGTGTTTCTGTTTCCTAACGGATACAAAAAGCAAAAACAATCAAAGAAGGTACCAAAAACACTGTTCGAGAAGTTATTTACAAAAGAACTTTGGTACATAACCTTTAAGAGAAATTGGAATTTTATCAATAGTGAAATACAAGTATGTAAACATTTCGTATTTCTTGTATAGAAGCTCTTAGTCTTTATTCGTTCAAGTGACCTTTTCAACATTTTCTTTACATTTCTACAGGCCTAATACACTGTATAATATAGTTCTTATTCTAAGTAAGAGTTCTATTTTAGCAAGTAAATTACAGGCAGTACCCTTCACTCGAGTGGTAATTGAGAATTTGAATAGCCTTCATGCTATTCTTTAAAGAAAAAGATAAAACAATATAATCCAAAACTGTGTCCCATCACAACATTAACTCAACCATTTGATAACAGGACCTAAACAACAGGACATACAGTGAGTTGTTGAATGATATAGTCCACTACATATTGTCAGTATACCAAGCCAATGAGGCCATCACACAAGATAGTATAATACCAAGTGCCACTCTACTTACTGGGGTGAATCAACCTGACCATGTCTTACAGTTTCGAGCTCTTATTGAGAAGATTAGGTAAACTACAGCTTTATGTTTTTTGTTTATTAGCATTTTATTACTTTTTAAAATAATACAAGTAGTTTGATTCTTTGCACCATTTAGTACTTATTATGGATTCTTAGCACCATTTTTTAGTAGCAGTAGAGCTTGTGAAAGGGTTTGTTCAGGGAAGTACTGCCACCTTACTTATTTCTGCCGCCAAGCAGTACATTATTGTAAGTGAGCATTAATGTGTTTCGGTTTTGAAAGAGAAGGACGCTGCCAAAATTACCTGTACTTGGGATAGGTAATGGCAGAGCCTCTTAGATCTTTGTGATTTAAAGCTCTAAGTGGCACAGCAATTGTTATGGACAGGCATGTTGCTTACCACCAGGTGCACGACTTATTCATCCTGTCACTTGATACCATAAAAAACAAAACTTGTAAGAAAGACATGAGTAATGCCCTAAAAGTAAGTTTAATTTATATAGAATTCAAAGAACAGGAAATGTTTGGTTTTGACTAGTATGGACAACTCATTTTGAGAGATATCAACTTCTAACCTTTTTATATTTTAATATTTACAATTAATTTTACAATATTACAGGAATGAAGTGACCCCACATATAGCAATGGTGAACTCACAGGACGCTTCAACATTAAAACATCTGGTTGAGAATGCTGTTTGGCAGTTAATACATGGGCATGAAACTGTGGTATGTAGTGAAAGTTTTGTTTTCTAAGTAATTATTCATAAATTAAAATGTTTTTACTGTTATCTAAATATAAAGATTGAACAGAATTGAATTTGCCGTAAAATTAATTTATATTCCTGCATGTCAATTAGGTTAATTTATTTTTTCAATTTAACTATTTGGCTGTAACAAACACGAGAACTGAGCTACATTTATTTTACTGAACAATTTTTATGTGTGTTACTTTGTATTATTATTTATTTTTGCTAATTTTGTTCTTATGTGCACTTTAGGATGCCACTGAAGATGATGAAATTCTATGCAGCCCATCAAAAAAGCTACGAAAGAGTCTCTGTACCATGAAAGCACTAAAGAAATGGTACAATACCATTTCCAGCAGTTCTTCACCAAAGAAAAAGAGGCACGGAATAATTAAGAGAACTTTAGTCATCATTATTCCTGATTTTGAAAGTTTCAACAGCAATGTTTTGCAAGATTTTGTTATGATAATCAGGTAACTGAAAAAAATTATAAAGTATTCCTTTTTATAAGAGTAATATAATTGAATATGTAATGAGATGCATCTCTATTTCTTCGCCTTTCTCTTTTTTTTTTAAATCTTCTAACACTTGTAAGTCCTTTAAAAAAGTTGAATAGTTATTCAACACATATTGGTTCATATTTCATCATCCATCACCTCAGTGTACTTTTATATGTCTACTTTGGAGTGAAAAAGAAAGTTCCTTAATTCTTACCCCAGCTAAATTTTCTGTAAACTAATTTTACAATGGAACTAAGTGGGGGAAATTACGGATGTTAAAATAATGATAATCCTAACAACCATTCCGGCCAGCAAGGAACTTGGAGAAAGTAATGGATTTTTAATGTGATTTCAATAATCTACTTAAATTTTCAGTTCCTATGTACCCACACTGCCCATAGTGCTGATTTTTGGCGTAGCGACGTCAGTATCGGCATTGCATAAGTCGTTTCCTTACCATGTCTCATCCAAACTTCTGATTAAGGTTTTCCACTCGCACTCATCACCCGCTTACATGAATCAGGTAAGTTTGTTTAGACGTGTTTAAATGTACTATTTCTTACAAATATAATATTGTGTGTAAAATATACTTAGTTAAATAGGCTGTAAATAAACAGCTGGGATAGCCATTCTTGATTAAAGAAAGCACTTGTCTCGTATACAGGGTTATGTTTAAAATACTAACAACCTTGCAGGACTATATTACTAAAAGGCAGCATCATGAACAACAACTTTTGATCCATGACTTTTAATAATTCATCAGATTTTACTTTCATACAAAATTAAAAATATTTAAATAGATAGCTCTAAACAGTGATAATTCTGCAAAACGCGGGAATCGTCGGAAAGGACGATTGCAAGTTTTTTTGACGGGGTGGAAATCTTTATAGATACCCCTGAGCCCAGGGAGACTCAGGGGTTATGTGGGGACTCTCCCTCCACACTGGAAGGCCTACCCCACTAAAACCCCCCCGGGTTTCCCTCTCGCCGGTTGAGTCGGCGCCGTGGGATCAGTGAACATTCACCACGATGCCGCCCGGAAACATTTACTACCTGCATGGCAGTCCGCTGCGCAGGCAGGAGACTGCTCTCACACTATCCTGTACTCACACTATCCTGCATATGGCCTACGTATGGTTTCTCGCAGGATGCATTGCAGGATTGCAGTATGGCTTGCACGCTGCGACTACATTTATAATCCTTCATTACGCGGCGGACTGATCCCTTAGGGCTCGTTCTCATTATGTCGTAACGACATAATGAGAAATTCTTAAGTGATTACAAGATTAACTGTCTTTCACGATTTCTCTAACTTTACGACGACAGACTGTCGTGACAATGGGAAGAGCTATATCGATAGTCGTCCAACGATAAATAAAACGTCACGATAAAACAGTGACGACTGATAACCGCAGCTTCAAACGATTCTGTCGTGCAAACGACAAGGTGGCTGCCGTGAACCTGCAAACGACAAGGTGGCTGCGGTGAACCGATAAATTGTCGTCTCAATCTAGTGGGAACAGCTAGACCTGACAGTCTTCTAACGATAAATAAAACGTTACGACGTAATGGGAACGCGCCATGAGCCGACCTTTTGGTTCTGAGTCTTCTTGTGCATTTGTGGTTGAAATTTGTATTCTGTAGGTGTAAATATACGGTAAAAAATCAAATTGGCTTAAAAATTTCTTAAAACATCAATCATTAATGATGCAATAAAGAAGTCATACCAAAATGAATTTTACGGTTCACATGTTAAAGGTTAAGTTTGTTTAACACTTTTTCACACTTATCTAACCACAATCAAATGGTCGGTTAGAGAGTCAAGTATCATAGCGCATCGACTGTACACATGAAGTTTTTTCCTGTTTTCAAGGAATGAACCCTGGACCCTGCAAGCGATGATACTTACCTATTTCTGCCGCTAAGCAGTAATGTGGGCATTACTGCGTTCCGGTTTTGAAGGATAAATGTGCTGGTGACATTACAGGCACATGTGACTTGTCAACTTATGTGACACTGTGACTATGCTTATCACCCTGAGGTGACAGATCTTTGCGGTTTAAAGCTCTGAGTGGCACTGCAACTGCTATGAACAGGCGTGTTGCTTTCCACCAGGCGTACTTGTTCGTCCCGTCGCTTAGTATTATAAAAAAGCTTATAATGCCGTTACCGCTGCCACGCACTCTTCGCATTAAGGATGCTATGCTCTCTGTCTAATGCAAAGGCACCAAAGGCTGATCCTGAAATCGTGGTGCTTGTAATTATTTGGGCGTCAGTGTTTGCGTAATAAGTAAAAGATATATCTACACATATTAAACTGCCTCAGTGGCCGAACGGTTACCACGCCGGACTGCCACGCAGAGGTCCCAGACTCGATTCCCGGGCCGGGAGAAATATTTGTATGGCCTACATTCATTTCTCTCGTGAGTTTGGGTGTAATTTGTGGTTGTCTATGTGTGTGTCTATGGCACCCGCGAGACTGGGTTTCCCTAGTGAGGGCTATGTTGAGTGTGTGCGTTAAAAAAAATTATGATAGTAATATTTGAAAAAAAAAAATTTCAGGTATTAGAAGACATTTTTCTTACACCTCGAAGTCCCCTGCATCTCTCAGGGAAAGCGTTCGAGTTACTTACAGATGTGTTCCTGTTCTACGATTTTTCTGTGACAGGACTTTTACAAAGTATCAAGGTACATAACTTATTTAATACAAATTATAATTATATGTACAACATACAACAGATTGAATTAATTATTCCAAGTAGGACTAGGACTTGTTTTTTTTGTATAAATATCAATTAGCTTATTTTTATAACAAAGTACAGCTGATCTTTGTTTAGCAGCCTTACTCCTATCAGCCTGTATATCTTAGTAGCAGTAGAGCTCCTCGTGAAAGAGTTCGTCCAGGCTAGTACTGCCACTTTCCCTATTTCTGCCGCCTAGCAGTAACGAGAGCATTACTGCGTTTCGATTTTGAAGGGTAAGGGTGCTGATGAAATTATAGGCACAGGGGAATTTTCAACTTATGTCTCAGGGCGATTTTTTCTTTATAACATCAAGTGACGGGACAAACAAGTTGTTCGCCTGATGGTAAGCCACACACCTGTCTATAATAGTTACAGTGCCACTCGGAGCTTTCAATTGCAAAGATCTGTAGGGCACTACCAGTACACATGGGCGAAGTGGCATTGCCCCTCAGATCTTTGCGGTTTAAAACTCGTGATTGGCACTGTGACTGTTATGGGCAGGCGTGTAGCTTACCATCAGGCGCACGACTTGTCCGTCCCATCACTTACTATAAAAAAATTACATGCAGCAAGTTACCAATCCATAAGGCCTGGATGTACTGACGTCGTATGTAGGTTACACACGCAGTCTAGTAATATCGCTTATATGCATTTGATATACTGTAATTTCATTTTATTTATAATTAGTCTTGTAACAGCTCTCTAATAACAAACATCCATTTTATAATTAAAATCTTCTTTTTAAAAACCCCTTTCCTGACCGCCAATATGTATCTAGCCTAAGATTTTTTAATTTGTATGATTGTTAATTTAATAAACACAAAAATGTTTAATAAAAATTTTGCTACAGTACTGTATGATGGATCATTATTACGGCGACAATATGAAATCTCTATGTTGCGAACGTGACAAAATAGAAGAAGTGCTCGTGGATTTAACTACACAAGATTTGGAAAACATCCGGCAACTACCCTCCTTTCGGCCGTTTGTCGAAGCACAACACTATGAAACGCAAATCAAATTATTTGAAGATGATAGTTTCTTCAAAGAAATATTATACAGGGAAATGAATAAGCTTCATGATTATTTGAACAGTTTTTACATTTGCGTGCGATTGCTCGCGCTTTTTGTAAAGGACTTGCCAAAGAATTTACTTGGAAAAACGGTAAATATGTGTTGCATTTTGTACTTATATAAATTTATTTCTTCTGTCCTTATATATATTGAGATATTTGCGTGTACATATGCCATTCGTACATGTGCACAGGCCTTAAGACATCGATGTTTTAAGTCCCGGGCACACGTTTAATTAAAGCGCGCTCGCTTGGGCAAAAACATATAGACAGGAATTTTTATGCATGTACAGGTTCAAGGAGCACCTCAAGCATGACACTTAATATTAAAATTCTACTCTATGCCGCTTACGAACTCTTAACAATGGTTTAAAGTCCAAAATATCACGCTTGATTGCTCTTGGACTCAAGAAGAAAGAATATAAAAATAATTTTATTTGATCTTATTTTCTTAAGACAAATATACAGTAAGAGCATGTTCACGTGACGATTTATACGTAAATCGCCGTAGGTGTTCACATACTGATATGCGTTTTAAATGAACGCCTGTTCGACACCACGCTAACACCGGGAACTTGTCAGCGCGCGTTGACGGGTTCTTTGAGATCATAGATTTGCCGTACTGCGCCGTTCACATGAGCGCGTATATTTTTTATCGAGGGATTAAAACGAGCCAATGTACACTCGAGACCAATATACACCTATTACGCCGAGGGTTTATATTGGCTTTTAGCATGCGAGAAAAAAAATTAGTTATTTTCGCTCTACAATAAAATTACGAATCAAAATTCTGAAGATTTTGCGGTATTTTTTTTTTCAATCAGACACAGATACAACGCCCACGTTTATGCGGAAAAGGCACGGAACTAAAACCGAGCGTACTACTCACTGGCCGATTAGGTACTTTTTACTCCCTAGGGATTAAAGGATGCACTTTATTCCCGCTACGTAAGGCTACATTGACGTACGTGTAGAGCATGAGAAGGGAAAAATACTTTAGTAGAAATGGGTACAGAAGACTTTGATTCGGATTTATTCATAAACGAAGTTGAGGAACGTTCGAATAAGATTTTAATGAGACGGGCTTGGAAACAACTTGTCCTTATATTCTGTGACGAAGAAAACAAATAATTGCACTGAAACTCCTGGTAAAGTAGTAAACTTAGTACCAATAGAGCTTCTTGTGAATGAGTTCGTCCAGGGACGTATTGCCTTACCTATTTCTGTCGCCAAGCAGTAATGTGAGCATTAATCACTACGTTCCAGTCTTGAAGGGTATTGTTATTATTGTTATTATTAGGGTGGCTCCATTTGGGGTCTATGCGGCCCCTCATCACTGCGACCATCAACTGATCTATTGTGACCACCACTAATTACAGTTCGAAGCCAAGGCCGACAGTATTAAAGAACTGAAGGACTTACCTTCCTCTCCCACAGTTTTTATGTCCTCTGGGTGTGGCCTGTGCCTAACCAGTATGCAACTTCGCACGCCCATTAGAGGGCAGCAGTGGGTGAGGAGATGCACAGGAGTTTTAGTCGCCTGAGTAACATTACAGGAGAGTTTCTCTGTTTTCCTTCTGCCCAATATTTGACATGTGTTTGTTATTATGAAGGGTAAGGGTGCTGGTGAAATTACGGGCACATGAGACTTTCAACTTATGTCCCAGGGTCATTGGCGCAGTGGCAGTGATTCTCAGTTCTTTGCGATTTAAAGCTCTGAGTGGCACTGCAACTGTTATAAATAGGCGTGTCGCTTACTATCAGGCGCACGACTTGTTTGTCCCGTCACTTAATATTATAAAAAAAAAATAGTTTAAATTTATGTTTGAATGTGCGAATTGCGGCTCTGTACCGACCGTTTCCTGTATCTATGGTACCAACACATTTATGTGCTTTTGAAGTTTGAGGTTGTAGTCTTGCCTTATTATATGTTGTGCTACCAGTTTAAAAATTGTAATATGTATACAAAGAATATTTTTTTCAGATGCGTGAAATATTCGCGAAATGTGCCAATGACTGTGTAGCCTCTACACAAGATTTCGCGGATTGCATGCAGCTTTTAGAATTCCAATCACAAGTGAAGTTAGTGGAAACAATTAAAAGTGCTTTAAAAGTCATTAATTCTGCATTAAAAATAGTCTCTCCGGTAAAACCTTTGCGATCAACGCCTACGAAGAATAATATGGAAAATATTAATCTTAGTTACGATTTGGGAGACAATTTTGTAAAGACTGTAAGAGTGCATATGGTGATGTTCCTTAAGCAAATAGAAAATGCAAATACGGAGGCGACAATCTCTACCACGTCGATGGGTAACGAGATTGACGTGGACGTTACTCCTGATAATAGATACAAACTTAAAGAGGTAAATATTTATATTAAAAATTTAACTGCCTCCGTGGCCGAACGGTTACCACGCCGGACGGCCGCGCAGAGATCCCAGGTTCGATTCCCGGGACGGGAGAAATATTTGTATGGCTTGCATTAATTTCTCTTGTGAGTTTGGGTGTAATTTGTGGTTGTCTATTTGTGTATCCCTGGCACCCGCGGTTTCTCTAGTGCGGGGCTATGTTGAGTGTGTGCGTTGTTATTATTATTATTAAATATAGATCCACTTATTAAACGGAAAAATAATTCCCAGTTATATTATTTTTGTGTATCACACCAGTTTTCCAGAGATGGACCATTAGTTACAGGCATAAACTACAGGTGTATTTATACTTAAAAAAAAGTTTTGTTTTTAGAAACTACTCCAAGCGACAAGAGTAGACAAGATCCAATCAGAGTTTGAGATGATTCGTTCCCGCTTAGTAAGTTACCTCGAAGAAATGTTCAGCAAAGGGTTGCAGCCTCCGGGACAGCAGCCGTTTTACGAGATACTATTCTTCAGCGACGTAGCCAGTGTTAAGAAGCAGATAGTAGGTGCACCAAGGGGCGCCTTGCATACTGCTCTGAGCAATCCTGTGCATTATTTGCAGGTTAGTTTTTGCTATCTAAGTTACTAAAATTAATTACATTACTAAAAATGCCTACTGATTAAATAGATTTAATCAGTAGGCATTATTTTGTAATGGTTTTTTCCACATATTATATCTAAATAGTGTACCTGTTTTGCGTACCCAATATAAGCATAAACGCTTAGTTGCCGCTGCTACGCTTCAGAACACGCCCGGCCGTTGATCGTAGTTAAAACATCAGTCGGACACGTGAAAAATGCCTGATTGTGCCATTAGAAACTGCAAAAACACCACAGCTATGAATAGATGAATGAATAGGGACGTTTCCTTTTACAGTTAAATTATTTTGTAATAAGAATATGTAGAATTTATTTTAAAACCAATTATTTTCATTTTGAACGAATTTAGAGAAAATAAATATGCAAACAAGTGTGTGCTACATGATTCGTAATATATTGCGGCTTTTACTTGGTGCAGTACACTTATAGTCCTTCTTTAGTAGGCCATGAATATCGAACGAGCGATACTTTCGTGTAATGCATTCGTTTCGTGGTACGCCCGCTTCGCGATGTCTGGCCAAATTTTACGATTCGTCATCAACTCTTTTATACGTCCCACTGCTGGGCACGGGTCGGACGAGGGTTTAGGCCATAGTCCGCCACGCTGGCCCAATGCGGGTTGGGGACTTTACACGTATTCCGAGAGTTGTGAACCTTCTTCGACCTGCATTTTTCATCACGATGTTTTCCTTCACCCAAAAGCTCATGATACATTTCAAACTAAATTTCGCACTTCAATTCCGAGAAATTCAGAGGTGCGGCCCCGGATTCGAACCCACGACCCTCTTCTTGAGAGGCAATAGGTCAAACCATTAGGCTACCACGGCTACATTTATTACGATTAGCGATGTTCAATTGATGCAACCCGGTTCACGATTCTGATCGAGATATAGAGATTTGTGATGTTATCGCAGGTACAAAAATGTGGCACGTTTGGTTTTCACATACATTACTATTAGACTATTTATATATGTCTGTGGTTTTTTTGATACCAAGTGACGGGACGAACAAATAATGCGCCTGGCGACGCGCCTGTCCATAATAGTTGTACTGCGCCTGTTACCCTGAGACAAGTTGACAAGTCTCATTTGCCTGTAATTTCATCACCCTTACCCTTCAAAACCGGAACACAGTAATGCTGACATTACTGTTTGGCGGCAGAAATAGGTAAGGTGGCAGTACTTCCCTAGACGAACTCTTTCACAAGGAACTCTACTGCTACTTATCCGACTACAGTTACTCAGTGTCGTGGACACTTTTATTTCCCATAATATCTCGACAAATTTTTATTATTTGTAAGATATGTTACAGTCACAAAGATACATAACACATTTGATTTCTGCAGTCTATCAAACTATAGAGAAATTGCAAATTACTGCGACCGGTGTAAATATTCCGCTGTATTAAATCTGAATTATTTATTCTCAGTGCTCGTGCTGCCACTTGCCGACATCTGAAAGCATGACGGACAGCCTCCCGGATGTGTGTCTAGCGTACAAGTTGCATCGTGAATGTGGCAAGCATATTAATCTTTACGACTGGCTACAAGCGTTTGCCGCTGTACTCAAACCCGAAGAGGACGATGAGCTAAGGCACCAGGATCCTAAGATTCAGTGAGTATTTTAAACGTAGTAGAAAATATTTATTGTTTCTATGTGCTTGTTGTCGGATCCTTGTATTTGGTTTTCAACGACTTTTTTTTACTATTAACTGTAATTAAATTTTCTATTGCATGTCAGAATGTTTCACCACCATGATTTTAATTTATTTTTTGTGAAATAACTCCATTAGTTTGTTATAATTATTAAGGTCGAACACTTGGAAAAAATTACTTCGATCCGGTCGGATTCGAACCGACGTCTCCTAGCAAACCGTGCCAGACGCTATGCCAACTAAGCCACGAAACGAACCAGTGGACCTCACGAATTTTTCTATGTATTTATTGTTTATCATTAAAACAATAAGTATTTTCCACTATTATATATAAAGTATATAATATATTGGCATGCAGCTCTTGTATTCTGTGTGTTAGCGAGTTTATTGAATAAGTTATAAGATACTGTACATAGTATCGTATATGTAACAAACTTTGGTTACCATCTAACAGAATTGTCGCCTGAGCGCTTATTAAAATCTATGTTTTAGTGAAGGTCACAAATGTAAATTTTTTTATTGCTACATAATTATTTCCATTTGAAGATTGAGCATGATCCTATTAGAATTGTATTTGTGACCTTATTATTGTTATTTAATTAATTTAGACGTAAAATATTAATTAAATATTGGTTTGTATTGGTCTCAATAAAACTGTACACGATCAAAATGTGCAGTGATGTCATTATTTTTATCTCATTGCTGACAATCGGCCGTATTTCCTTACCTTTAACGTCGTACGTCGATTGGTTGGTTTGGTAATATTGGCTAATTAACATTTTATTAACATGGGGCAGAAGCGAGGTCGTCCTGTTCTTCAAAAAGAGTGATAAAGTAAGTTCTTGAAGAACTATCGGCCAATCTCGCTTCTGAGCCATATCTATAAATTGTTTTTGAGAGTTATCACGAATCGTCGCGGTCGCAGGTTTGACGACTTCCAACCTCCCGAACAAGCCGGTTTTCGAAAGGGTTTTAGTACCATAGACCACATCCATACGCTACGGCAGGTTATACAGAAGACCGAGGAGTATAACCGGCCACTTTGCTTAGCGTTTGTGGACTATGAGAAGGCCTTTGATTCGATCGAGACCTGGGCGGTGCTACAGTCTCTCCAAAGGTGCCAAGTAGACTATAGGCATATCGAGGTGTTAAGGTACTTATACAAAAACGCCACTATGTCAGTCCGATTACAGAATCAGAGCTCTAATCCTATCCAACGGCAACGAGGCGTCAGACAGGGAGATGTGATATCTCCGAAACTGTTCACTGCTGCGTTGGAGGATATTTTCAAGCTTCTGAACTGGAAAGGACTTGGCATCAACATCAATGGCGACTATCTAACACACGTTCGATTTGCCGATGATATAATTCTTACGGCTGAGACCTTGGGAGACCTGAACACAATGCTCAAAGATCTCAGTAGAGTCGCCCTAAGAGTGGGTCTGAAGATGAACATGGACAAGACGAAGATCATGTCGAATGTCCATGTTGTACTCGCTCATGTTAAAATTGGGAGCATACACTCGAAGTTGTTGACCATTACGGACACCTGGAGCAGACAGTCCAGTTAGGTAAGTCGAACTTTGAGGAAGAGATCTTTCGTCGAATCCAGCTCGGATGGGCAGCGTTCGGGAAATTACAAAAAATCTTTGCGTCCAAATTACCTCAGTGTCTCCAGAGGAAAGTCTTTGACCAGTGTGTGTTGCCAGTGATCACATATGGATAAAAAACGTGGTCCCTCACTATGGGCCTCATAAGAAGGTTCAAGGTCACTCAGCGGGTAATAGAGAGAGCGATGCTCGGTATTTCCCTACGTGATAGCATCAGAAATGAGGAAATCCGTAGGTGAACTAAGGTAACAGCTCGAAGAATTCCTCAGCTGAAGTGGCAGTGGGCGGGGCACATAGCTAGGAGAACCGATGGCCGTTGGGGCGGAAAGGATCTTCAATGGCCACCGCGCACCGGACGACTCTCAGTGGGTAGGCCCCCCACCAGGTGGACAGACGATCTGGTAAAGGTCGCGGGAAGCCGATGGATGCGGGCAGCGCAGGGCCGATCGTCGTGGAGATCGTTGGGGGAGGCCTATGCCCAGCAGTGGGCGTCGTATGGCTGAATGATGGCTAATTAACGAATATTGATTTATAAATCATTCGATTGCCGATCGATGATGAATCGGATGATGAATTAGTAAATCATTCATTCAATGGGCTCTCCAGTAGCTTTTACTATGTACAAAGAACAGCGTAGGTTCTTCGGTCGTCGATCATTCATAGACATCGAGCAGGTCTATTTAAGTTATTTTAATTCAATTTAGTTTATTTTGAGTGTAGTACAACCATTCTATCGACGTCGGCTCATCTCATTCTACCATCGATCGGCTATAGATTGGTTGGTGTGGTAACAGATAACATCCATACGCGGGCTGCAAATGCGACTCAATAATCTTGATCAATGCGAATAATGATTTTTTTATGAAAATGATGCTGAAAATTTGTATCAAATAGAACCTTTAAATATTTTGTAACGACTACCTGTGAATAGTTACTAAATTGAAGGTATTGTTTTAGAGCTCGCTTCACTCGTGCGGTATCGGAACTGCAGTTCCTCGGATTTATCAAAGCCTCCAAAAGAAAGACTGACCACGTTATGCGCCTCACTTGGTGATCTACTAGTAATTATTAACTTTATTTTGATTACATAATCATGTGTGCGTTTTGTGTTTGTGTATTTAATTGTGAAATCATAATAAATTATTTTTCTAATGTCTTTGTTTTTTATCCTCGCTTTGTTGACTTTTATGACGTCATGCTTAGTAAGCAGACGAACTCGCCACTGCTTATTGCAGTAGCTGTGTTTATTTTCCGCATTTGGGCAAAGTTTGCAATGATAAATTATGCGACCTGTTTTGCTCGACTTAAACCCGTGTAAATATTCATTGTGCAGCTATAATAAGTACATTACGTAGAATATACACATAGATTATAACGTTATGGAATAGAAAAATACTTTGACAATAACGGTTTCGTAAGTTTTCGTACCGAACACCGTTCTTTATTGCTTATTGTTTATTTTCTATTTATCAATTATATATTATATACCAAACAAAAAACAAAAGCATAACTTCACAAACACTTAGTATTTTTATATTTGCCTTTTTTGCAATTTATCTGGTTTTCTAAATTACCGGTTTTATTTTTTAATTTGATTGGAATATAACCAGAAATAATTTTTCAATTTATTGTGTTTTGGTTGATGATTATTTGCCGTAAGAGTGCGTACAGATCTGGCGAATGCGCCGCGAACGCGTTGCATGTGCGCTGCCCGCGTGCTGCATGCGTTAAGTTAAATACTTGTTAGTATCGGAGAGGCGCGCGTACGGCACGCGAACACATCGCACTACGTAATGCATGTGCTCAGCTCGCGAGCTTTTCGCAAACAAACGCATTTGCGGCGCATTCGCCAGATTTGTAGGCACCCTTACGTATACATCGCCAACGCGATGGTGTCAAAAGTGTTTGTATATTAAAGAAAGTCAAATTTTGGTTCTGTATTAGAGATGTCACGAATAATAATTTGGTCAAATACAGAGTACTCGGCTACGCTCTCGGCCGAAGGCCGAATACTTAGCTGCCGAATGTGAGATGTGTGCATTACTGTCTGCGCTGGGTGCGGAGCGCTACAGATAACATGTAAAATGATGTTGTGATGTGTGTACGTAAAGAAATATTCTAATGCACGAGTTTTTTTATTTGAAAATTCTATGACAGATCGGTGGTAGACCCTTATATTCTACCAAAATTCGCTAAGATGTACATATAGTCTCCTGGCAGTTGTGTTTATAGTGCCTCTGTGGCCGAACGGTTACCACGCTGAACTACCACTCAGAGGTCCCGGGTTTGATTTCGGGGCCGAGAATAATATTTGTATGGCCCACATTTACTTCTCTCGTGAGATTGGGTGTAATTTGTGGTTGTCTATTAGTGTGTTCATGTCACTCGCGATTTAGGGTTTCCTTAGTGCGGGGCGTTACTATTTATTATTATAGTGAGGGGTTATTTTCAGAAGCACGTATTGTTTACGAGAAAGAGCATTCGTTTGCTACTAACCAATAATGAAAAAAAAAACGTTTTCATTCATCACAATATACCACTGGTAGATTTAAAGTACTGAAGCAATAATTTGTGATTAAAATACATACATTTTTAAATAATATGTGCGTTTCGTTTTCACGTTTTTTTTTTTCGTATTAGGCCGAATAGTAAGCAGTATTCGGACGTGTACCGAATAGCAGTCGGATACTCGTAGCATCTCTAGCTATTTTTTTATAATTTTACATCAGATATGTCGAGGTATTACCCTATTAGTATTAAAGGACACGCGTCCTGCAGTGGAATTTTCTTGGTGATGTAATACTGACTCTTGTTCACATAAGTCATACAGATGTAGATATTAAATATAGCAGATATCCTGCTAAACTGGCTTACGTTACCTATTTTATGCGTTTGCAATACCTTATTGTTTAATTAAGAATTAGTAGTTAAAACAGACGTATTGCACACGCAGGTATGATGTAAAAAAACAAACCAACCTTGAATTATAATTTCACGAAATGAACTGTAGCTACGACCTCTGGAAAGGTTAAGAGTACATTACTTTTATTTGCGTCTACTGGCCACTAGGACGAGTTTTTTTCTTAAAGCCTTAAGTTATGCATATTCCTATGAGTACTTAAAAGTCGAACTTTGTAACTATGACCTTTAAAATCGACTCACAATTTTTTTAAATATGTTTTTTCTTGATATTTATCATTTGACCTTTTAATTTAGTTTGTTTAGTGGGTACTGTTTCTTGAATCGAATAGTGAACTATTATGACAATAAAGAAATTCTTTTATACACGCTGAATTCGTTGTAATGGTTTGTAAAATCGTAAACTTGATTTATATTGAATGGACAAACAAATATTATTTATCTTACATTATTGTCGACTATTTTCTCTGTGCTAGTCACAACAGTGAACCTTGACATAAAATATAATACATTGCAAATGACGTGAGAAATATTTTTCAACCGATTTCAAAAAAGGAGGAGGTTCTCATTTCGACTGTATGTTTTTTTGTATGTATGTTACGTGATAACTCCGGTATTTGTGCACCGATTTTCATGATTCTTTTTTGTTGGAAAGAGGGTACCTCCACAGTGGTCCCATTTAATTTTGAAGAAAATCATCCACCTCTAAGGGTCGTATTGTAGAACTCTACTCAATGCTCAAGCTCGGACTTGAGTATGATTCAAAGCCCTAGAAATTATACTCAAGTCCTTGGCCATTAGTGTCGTATTTCCAGTGCTTGAAATCATACTCAAGTCTGCTCAAATCCTGACTTGAGCATTGAGTAGAGTTCCGGAATACGACCCTAAGAGTGGCTGTTCGCGCATGCAGATTCATTTTTATAAATAGCGCCTAAATTTTATTATAAGAAGCAATTATTTTAATGGTTGATTTTACTATTCTCTAATTCAAGGCGTTTTTCTCTCAATATACTTTGAGTAGTGAGAACCGATTTTTGTTATCTCCTGTGCTGAGTTCCGTATAGTGGCGAACCTCCTCCTCCTCCTTCCGTATAGGGGATGAATCCTGGCTGTGGTGGAATAGATGTAATTCCACGTACTTTTGAGGTCGGTTTTTTAGTACTATGTACTGAGATTATTAGTAAACTATTATGTACCTATATAAGTATTTACCGTATAATCATCGCTACAACTTATTACTTGTAGAGGAATATTTTTTTTTATATTACCAAGTAAAGGGACGAGCAAGTCTTGCACCTGATGGTAAGCGACACGCCTATCCATAATTTTAATGTATCGGGAGTTTTTTAATTTAAAGTAATATTGTTTTATTGTATGGAGGTTACTATTTTTCTTTAATATCAGTTTCTAATGCAATTCAATACATTTGTTCAGTTAATATTCTCATTGACATTTAATCTACTAAATTGACATGTAATTACGATTATTGGTAATATATTTTTCATTATGTCTGCAAGAGATTAGTACCTAACACGACGGATGACAACTCGCGAATATACTTGTTGGAGGACTTAAGTTCAAATTATAAAGAAATTTAAAAAAATATTTATAATTGTATTCTTAGTTGTGCCTATGCGAAACAATGACGTTTAGGCATTTGGTGAAATTACAGGCACGTGGGTCTAGTCAACTTATACTCAGCGTGACGAGCGCAGTGACAGTGCCCCTCAGATATTTGGGATTTAAAGCTATGAGCGGCGCTACAACTGTTATCGACAGACGCTTACCACCAGGCGCACGACTTTTTCGTCTCGCCAATAGGCATCATAAAAAAAATTAAAGTTTGATGAATACAATTTAAATTTTGAACTGCCTCGGAGGCCGGACGGTTACCATCACAGACTACATAAACGTGGTTACCACGCTGGTCTGCCACGCAGATGTATCACGCCACATAGATGTAGCCCTGTATCACGGGTGCCACGCATGGCACCCGTGATACTGGGCTTCCCTAGTGCAGGGCTATGAGTGTGTGCGTTATTTATTTATTATTATTTATTTACTTATTCAAAATCAAATTAAAAATTGAATTTAAAGAATGTCTTTATTTTATGATAAACAGTAACAAAGTAATAACTCATTCGTAGAAAATAATGAGCAAGAAACTTGTAAGGGTTTAGTAACAATTTGTACACATTTATCCGTTTACTATTTATTTCAAATATCGGAGACCGAAACAACCTAAACGGGTCACTGTTGTGGATTTTTGACTTTTAAGTACGCAGAAGCCGTGCAATGTCGTATGTAAATGGCAAATTTTGAATATCTTGTTAAATTAATTAGTAATTTTGTGAAGATAACTGTCAAGAACAGCCATTTGAACTTCGTATAAGTTTAAAATTTTATAGCAAGCAAAATCAATAAAGGTCATGATATGATATGACTTCTAAATACGAAGTTGATGATATTCCGCTGACATTAAAAAAAATAAGATTAAGTGACGGGACGAACAAGGAGCTCTACTGCTACTATTCAACTTGGTAGAAGAATCCTTGATTAGTGGACAATTTTATTCACTGCTCTAACACGCTATTTTCAAATATAGGGTATTATTTCAAACTCCAAAACAAAGTCATGAACGCTGAGATATTCCTTCACAAAGGTGGTGCAAGCTCTTCTTAGTATTGTCAAATACAAGTTGTAAAAATTTGTGTTGCAATCACACTGTGTAATAAAATCACGTGCTTCGTAAACAGTCGAAGAATCGAAAGAAGTTGGTTGGAAATCTTAATATATATTCTATTTATTTTTATACAGTACCTAATGTGTTCATTGATTGGTGTCTGCTGGACAAGCTCGGTTTCAGGTAACAAAGAGATGCCCTAAGTATTTCAAGATTACGTGCATTTTAACACTATGATGACATTTACCTTAGTTAGGTACTCAACTTCATAGTCACTTGTGATATTTAGGTTTTAAATTTCCAAATACATTATTTGCATGTAACTTCCAAATTCGTCTGAATAAATTGATTGTATCTAATGAATAAGAATTCATATTTTACAACGTCACAATTTTTAATATTTAATGTCCTCGAAGTGGACACTACCTTGGCCCAGTAACTACGTTGTCGAATTCCATATATTGTCGCATATTATTTTGTAAATAGTTGTAAACAAAACCTTCTGACCATGCCGGCTTACACACTCCTGTACCTACACGCACACATTAATTTGGTTATAATCACGTGCTCATCGGTTAGCGATCATCGATGACCGAATCTCGGGAGCCGGAATATCGACATCGTATGTTTGCCGCCATTTGACATTACGTTAGATTGCCGGGAGAAATGTATAAAAGATTTTGTCACGAACGTTTGGGTATCAGTCGCTCAGCAGTTAGCAAACTAGTCGTACTATCCTATCAAACATGAAGCTGGTACGTGCCTGTGTATATTTTACTGTTGTGTTTCTGACAGGACTTTTTAGTGCGAATAATGCCCTTGGATTTTGATCGACCCACTTGGAACATTGCATCTATAGTTTTATGTAACACCAGCATGGAGTTGTGGTTTCTTAAACAGTTTCAAAAAGAAATTCTTTAATAAGTTGCATATTTTTGTTGACGGTGTTTGTTCATGCAGGTAATTGTCGCCCTTGCTCTCGTGGCTATCGCCGCTGCAGCTCCCCAGAACAAGCCTGAACCTCCTAAGATCCTGCGCTCCGAATTCGAGCAGCAGCCCGAAGGTGCCTACCAGTTCAGGTGAATATTGTTTATTTTATATGGTAATCTACATACTTTTTTCGTTTAAGAAAATTGAACTTTTCTAAATGTACAGTTGCATACTTTGTAGTGTTAAGGAGGTAATTTTGATTGATCCTAGTATCGACATTTTGACAATAGTGGTACCTAATGATGTGGGATCTTCAACGCTGTGTACGAATTTATTTAAAATTTATTTGTCATGTTCCAGCTTCGAAACCGAGGACGGCATCCAACGCCAAGAGAATGGTGAACTGAAGCAGGTTCTTGATGAGGAGAACAAACCCCAAACAGTGGTCGTAGTTCGCGGCAGCTACACCTACACCGACACCGAAGGCAAACCCCAAACCGTCACTTACTTTGCTGACGAGACTGGCTATCACGCTGAAGGTGATTCCATCCCCAAGCCCGCCAGGAGATAAGCTCTCCAACTGATTTGCCGGCGAATTATCGACTGACATAAATTCTGTCGGTTGTTCCCCGGCTGGCTCGCTTAGGCTAATAACAATTGGTTGCCATAGACAAGGGAATCGCTTTCCCGTTGTTGCTCGTTATTAATGCTCACTGCCATATTTTTGTACGTTTATATTGTTTTTTGTTGTGTTTTTATATGAGTGCGTAATACGTACGCTCAATAAATCATTGTACAGAATATCTTATGTTTATATTTTCTTTACCCCGCAAGCGGGGACAGCACCCGACCTTGCAATAATCCTAATGCAATGCGCATTATTTGTTGCGCCTTAGAAGTATTTTCAAGTTCCGCTTACCTCATTGAAAGTTAATTTTGCTATAGGAATTAAGTCAGGGGTGTCATATGATTCGCAACATTAGAGGCAGTAGGAAAAGCCTGACTTTGCTTATTCCAATATAAATTAAAGTTTCTGAAAAAAGATGTGACACGTGAATTCAAAGCACGCTCTATAGCGTGCTTTGAATTCACGTGTGTTTTTTGATTGCTTAGTTCATACCTATGTATGAACTAAGCAATCCTGATGTATTAAAATATTTTTGTAGTAGAGGTATTTAAAAAAACAAAACAATTATAGTTTTTAACAACTTCGTCTCAATTCAATTTATCGTTTTTATACGGTTTTAATCTGCGAGTTTAATGAATTTGTATATATTATCAATTTTTTTTATAATATCAAGTGATGCGAGGAACAAGCCGGATGGTAAGCTACACGCCTCTCCATAACAGTTGCAGTGGCATTCTCAGCTTTAAATCGCTAAGGTCAGAGGGACATTGCCATTGCGCGTGTCACCCTGAGACATAAGTTGACAAGTCCCATATGCCTGTTATTTCATCAGCACCTTTACCCTTCAAAACCGGAACACAGTAATGCTGACATTACTGCTTGGCGGCAGAAATAGGTAAGGTGGCAGTACTTCCCTGGACGAGGAGCTCTATTGCTACTAAACATTTGTCATCGCTCTATTCGAATATTAAAATTCAAATTCAAATAATTTATTTCGGAATATTACATACATATTATTATTATACAAAATTCCAAACTCATAAAGCGCACACATACATTACATTAGCTAATTAAATAAATTCAAATTCAAATAAAATGTATTAAATTAATACAAATGAAATGAAATCAATAAAGAACAATAAAATGAAAACAAACACTAGACTGAATTAAATAATAATAATAATGTATCATGCACTATGCTTTCTTATATGTAGGTTAAACTGTAAATCACAATCGTATTCTAAAAGTGTCTTTTTGTTAATTCAACATTTTCTTTTAAATAATAGTTGGCACGAAGAACCTTAATAGACTAAAACAAAATGCTTTAAAATTTAATCAGTGGCAGATAAGAAACAATACATATTTATATATATGCAATTATGAATAACATAAAGATAAACAAATATTAATGTTTTAATATTAATTATTATTATTCGAATTTAATATTATTCGAACTCTTGCATACAATAAATAGGAAGCTACTGTGAATATTAGTTCAAAGAGCACGTCCTCGATGCATCGACACGGAGAGTCTATCCCTATGCTAAACGCACATATGGGTATATATTTTACATTTAAGAGTGATTTAGTAGGAGTCCTAAGACAATAACGATACATATTCTATTTCAATTAACAGATTGTGAGTAAGTTTCTTCTGTCCATTAAATTATATTACAAGGTTTACAAGCGTGATGCATTTATTTATGCGAACCCCGCCTTTTAACATCATCTCATGAACAATAAGTAATAAAAAGCTTTTATACTAAGTAAAACTGAGCGTAAACTTGTGAAGGGTTTATTATTCATTATTAGACCAATTTTTTTAATAAGTAGAAGCATCTAGGAAAATATTGTTCACATTAAATTAGAGAAAATAGCAGGACCTTATTTTGGCGATTACGTAATAAGACGCAATGATGGTCTTACCGAAGTGTTATGTTGAAAAATCGTAGGAAATAAATATACAGTTCCAATTATGATATAAGCAGGATATGTAGTTGTTTTAATAACATACGAACAGTACATAAAAATTTATAGTTTTGCTATGTAAAATAGACAAATGCTAGACAGGATGTAAACATAACTTTTTGTTTCAATAACAAGTATTTAAATCTCTGTATCATATAATTTTGGGTATTTTTGTTATACGATTGTATAATGTGTCTATTTATAAAATAACTTTACAATGTCACATACTTTTACTGCACGAGTTAAATATTTTATAATATAAACAGTAATTTTAGTAACGTCTATGGAAGTACAAGGAAGTCAGATGCTCGGTCATCACTATGCTGAAGGTTGAATAGAATACACTTAATTTAGACTTGATATTTGGTTAATGGATGTTCTAGTCTGTTTTGGGATCCTTAAACAGGTTTTAAGTAGCAGTAGAGC